AACATTAAAAATTGTATTTAGGTTTTTGCAGGAAGTTCAGGAATATAGTACTTGTTGTCTAGAATGTTCATAGGCCTGGGTTCAATCCCTAGTACTAACTCTCTCTCTCTCTCTCTCTCTCTCTCTCTCTCTCTCTCCTCTCTCCCCCCTCTCTCTCTCTGTCTGTCTCTCTCATATGATGGTTAATCTCAGTTGTCTATTTCCAATTGTCTGTAATCACCTGGGAGATAGGCTTTCTCAGACATTATCTGCATTAGGTAAATTGAGATGGGCTGACCTACCCTCTGTGGGTAGCACCATCTCCTAAGTTGAAACCTTCTTCACTGTGGATTCAATGTGACCTGCTGCTTCAGGCTCCTGCTATCTTGTTCCCCTCTCTCCATGTACAGTGAATGGTAGAACTGTAAACCAAACAAACCCTTCCTCCCTTAAATTGATATTCTCAGCATCACAGCACAGCAACTAGAACATCACAGCAACTAGAAGAGTAACTCATAATTATATAAATAATAAATCTAAATATAAACCTAAAAATAAAGGTAATGGCCCCCTTGTCCATTAAAAACAAAACAAAAGAAAACAAAACAAAAATCCCAAAGACTTCAGATATTCACTGAACTTTCTAGTCAGATAGGAAGCAGCCACATAGATAACAGCCTTAAAATTTTAATCTTCCAGTTCACTGTACCTCAAAAGGTAATTTAATGGTGCCCTAAAAATTCCTGGAGGGTTTGTTTAAATTTTTTTGGTTCTGAGTTTTGAACCAGGGCCTTTCACACTGTAGGTAAGAAACCCTACCACTGAGTTATAGCTCCAGGTCAAATACCTGTATTACCATTGAATGATAGAGAACAGTGAGGAGGCATCAGCAAATATTTTGTTCTTTAAGACAGTATTTGTAAAACTTACCAAGGCAAGATCAATACTTTGGGAGCATCCAGTTTAATTCAGGGTATTCAACTTTGACCTTACAAGGTAATGGACATCTCATCTTTCACATTCAATTCATAACTTACTCAGACCTTGGTAACTTGGCAAGGCTTGCACACTTTCTTCCTGATGCTGGGGAGGCATCCAGCTGTATTAATCTTTATACACATTTTTTTGCTAGAAATATTTTCATTCTCATACTTTTCCAAGAATATATTTTTTCCTATATCCTGACCCTCTTGTTTTCATCTCCTTTGGTCTTACGAATAAACACTTTGTGAGTTATGTTTAACGAGAAGGTTGGCTCCAACAACACGAGTAACGCAGTACTAATCAATCAATATCTGCAGCATACATAGAGTTAAAGCATGAAGTTTTGTACATTCCCCTACAGACACCATACGGAGCGTGTCGCTCAACAACATTTTCTGCATCGTGCAGCCCAGGAAATGCACTCACATAGGCATGCTTGTCGTCTCCATTAAGGATAAACAGAAGATCAAAGCAAAACATCAACAGATTGAAGTTGCCAGCATCCAACAGAAGAAACAAGGAAAAGCCCTGATGAATGTCATCTTGAGGCAATGGCTGAGGAGTTGTAGATGGATGTTCCCCTCTATCCTATTTCTATTGTAGACATCATTATATATAGAGTTAAAACTATAGCATCCCCTGGTTTAAATATTGTCCCTCAGTTTTCTGAAGGGCACAATGCCTTTCTACTTGACTGCTTGGCTGTCCACACTGGTGCTTGTCATAGAGTTCAGTCCATCTTGACTCAGGAAAGGGATGTTATAGGACTGTTGAAACCAAAGTGGTTGTGCCTCAACCGAGTAGAACAAACCCCATTTCCAGAGCCTCCTTCCTGTGTAAGCTCAAAGAGCTCCTTGCAATAGTCAACCAAGAGTGTTTAGATTCTCTGTGAAACTGCAGGCTGAAAATGATGACTTTTTCTAGATTGCTGGTGATTATAGAAGGAACCAGCTGTGTATGCTGGACATGTGTATTTTGAAAAGAAGATTTACATTACAATAATAACAAGCTGGACCTTAGGCACCTGAAACTCTCCCATTTTCCTCATGCTGCACCAAAAGTGTGCTCATACACACACACACACACACACACACACACACACACACACACATCTATACATTATCACTATGTACACAAGAGATTAATTGACACCATTCAGTGCATATCATCTTCAGATTTGACTTGGGTATGGAGATGTACTCTATCTTGTCTATTCATGGTCACTACTGCTGAGAGCATCCTATAGCATTATATGGCATATTGGTGTCAATGTAGATTTATCACATAGTCCTTAAATATCCAACGAAGGGGTCCACAGTTGTTCTAACCAGAATGTGAACATTGTCTGACTCTCCTTCTATTTCCAAATAAATACCAAGCATTAATTAAAAACTGTAATAGTAGAAATTATAAACTGTGCCTAAATCAGGAAATAGAATCGCGTATGGTAAGGAGAAAGGCCAGATAAACAGGAAAAAAAAACCAAACGGGTCTACTAGGAAACTGAGACTTTGTCTGAATTTTCAATGATGGGAAGTAAAACCTCATGTGATGAATCTCAGAAATAAAGCTGCTATACGTTTACTGACATTTGTACTTCTGACATAATTTCTTTAAGAAGAAAAAAGAATGTTTACCTGGATGTGTGAGCAGCAATCTGTCATTGCACAATATTTTCCCTATTCAAAATGCTAGCATTTAACATAATGTATATTCAATAAAGACACAAAATTGAAACAGGGTATATTAATATTGTTTGGGTACCTCATATGGGTTTACATCCCAGACTCTATGACAAACTCACATCTCTTTTTATCAACCGTAAAATACATGTCTGCCAATTAACAAATATGTTATTTCATATAGATGAGGACAATAACACAAATGTAATGGCACATATTTTTAAGCTGTTCAAACAACAAATATAAATGCACTTGCACATCTGACTGACAAGACAAAATGGTCAAGAATAAGGATATATAGGAAGCAGTTTGGATTGTTGTGATCTCATACATGAAAAGTAACACATTGATTTTAAGGAGGTTGTGATTATTTATGCGAGGACTGGTAGTTCTTTATCTTTCTGCCTCCTCTCATCTATTTATTTAACTTGTTTCTTTCTTAGGCTGCAGGAATGGAGATGTGATACTGGATCTACTCATCACAAGCTGGCCTGGAGTCCACTCTGTAGCCTGACATACGATTGATTACATTGCAATCCTCCTGGATCAGCATCCTCAGTGCTGGGTTAAGTTTAGTAAGTCACCACATCTGGTTTATGAGAAAGGATTTTCAAATAACTTTTACTTCATAGAGTGTTACAGCTGCTAGTAAAGCTGTTTTCTATGTTTGTCACATTGATTGTGGGTATCAGCAGTGAAGAGTGCAGGACAAGGATCTTCAAAGTCTCTGAAAATCAACACTAAAGGAGAAATAATGGGGAATCCTGCAGTCAAAGCTTCACCTACATGCCTCAACCACAGAGGAGAGTCCATAAAAGAAATGTGAAACAAATTGCAATCTAGTCTAGAACATAAAAGTTCACAAAGATGACCACCAGCATCAGGATGGTGTGGACTGCTCTGGTCTACGGTCCCGATTTGGAGTTTGAAGGTGCTGCACTCTCTTTGGTGTCTATGTAGGAGGAGGACCGTGGAAACACTAGTTCAGACCATGATACTTATGAACACAGCATAATGGGTAAATGCCTACACTGAAACCAGATGTGGAGCAGACCCACTTGTTTTATCATCAGTGCCATTGGCTGTGCTCTGTAGACCACTGACTTTTAATGGAATGTAGACATTATTTGAGACACCAAAAAACCCAACAGCTGTAACAAGAATAACGCAGGATACTAGGGGCTCTCCCTCGGAGCATGACCCTACCACAAGGACAAGGACCAAGAGTGAGAACCTGATAGGTACTCAGGACACAGGTGGAGCACATGTTTGTGCTACGAGCCACCTGGCGGATGAAGTACTCGATTTTGCATTTCAGGTTAGTTTGAGGCTTCCTTGGGACAAAATCCATCACTTTGTTTGGAAATGCAGTGATGAGGAGGATGAAGGCATTGGCCACAGCCACATGAGTGACAATTGCCTCTGTGGGTCTCATTTGAGAGCCAGGAATGATGGAAGAGAAATTACAGACCATCAAGAGAATGTTGGCCAGAGTCCCAACCCCAACGTGGGAAAGCAGGAGTGTTTGGAGAGTCACTTCCTCAGTGGTTTGTAGAGCCTTACTCTGGGAAGACATGGAGAGGACTTCAGGGCAGACTGGAGCAATGACCAGAAGGGATGCTGCTGTCTTCAAGACACCTCTCAATTGTCTGAGCATTATGAATGATTTGAGCCATCTTCTGTGAAGGAAGACGCTACTATTTAACAATATGGTAGCTCGTCCTGGAGGACACTGCATAGACAGTTCAGAATATTACTTTGTTCTCCATGTACTTCCTCTTGCCTCATGAAGGATGTGCATTAGCGATACAACTGCTTTTTCTTGGTCTCCATGGCAACTACTGTAACGTAGTATGGCATATAACCATATGAGTGGAACCCAGTTGCAAAGAGGCGTGATGAGCAAAGGGATCGAGACCAGGCTGGCAAAACCCACAGAGGCAGCTGACCTAAACAAGGGGGAACACAAGGTCCCCAGACTGATGACTGAGAGACCAGCATAAGATTGATACAGACACCCCGCCCCCAACCTGGGTGTCGAAGATCAGGCCTCGGCAATCTCTGGGACCTTGGAGAGTAGATCAGTATTTATTCCTGGCATACAAACGGATTCTGGGAGCCCATTCCACATGGAGGGATGCTCTCTCAGCCTGGACACATGGGGGAGGACTTAGTCACTGCCTGGGATTATATGACAGACTCTGAAAATCCCTCATGGAAGGCCTTATCCTGCCTGGGGACAGAAGGGAGATGGATTGGGATTTGGGTGCTGGGGGAGGAGGGGAGGGAAAGGGAACTGAGAGTAATATGTGTAAAAAGTTAAATAACATAGAAAATAAACATATGAGCATTCCTGCGCCTCCGCTCCGGCCCCGCGGGTCTGCTCTGTGTGCCATGGACGGCATCGTCCCAGACAAAGCAGTCGGTACAAAGCGGGGATCCCACGAGCTCTCTACATGTGTCAGCAATGGCCCCTTCGACATGAGCAGCTCGGCTTCAGCAGCCAATGGAAATGATAGCAAGAAGTTCAACGGCAACAACAGGAACACAGAGGTCCCGTCCAGAGTCATCCATGTCCGCAAGCTACCCACTAATGTCACTGAGGGCGAGGTCATCTCTCTGGGGCTGCCCTTTGGGAAGGTCACCAACCTCCTCATGCTGAAGGGGAAAAACCAGGCCTTCATTGAAATGAACACAGAGGAGGCTGTCAACACCATGGTCAACTACTATACGTCAGTGGCACCCGTGCTGCGAGGACAGCCCACCTGCATTCAGTTCTCCAACCACAAGGAGCTCAAAACTGACAGCTCACCCAACCAGGCACAGGCCCAGGCAGCCCTGCAGGCAGTGAACTCTGTGCAGTCCGGAAACCTGGCTTTGGCAGCCTCTGCTGCTGCCGTGGATGCAGGGATGGCAATGGTAGGCCAGGGCCCAGTGCTCAGAATCAATGTGGAAAACCTCTTTTACCCAGTGACCCTGGATGTTCTGCATGGGATCTTCTCTAAGTTTGGGACAGTCCTGAAGATCATCACATTCACCAAGAATTACCAGGTCCAGGCGCTGCTGCAGTATGCTGACCCTGTGAGTGCCCAGCATGCCAAGCTGTCGCTGGACGGCCAGAACATCTACAACGCCTGCTGCAACTTCTCCAAGCTCACTAGTCTCAATGTCAAATACAGCAATGACAAGAGCAGAGATTACACTCGGCCTGACTTGCCCACTGGGGACAGCCAGCCCTCACTGGACCAGACCATGGCTGCAGCCTTTGGCCTCTCTGTTCCTAATGTCCACAGAGCATTGGTCCCTCTGGCCATACCGTCTGCTGCTGCAGCTGGCTGCATTGCCATTCCAAGCCTGGCAGGCGCCGGAAATTCTGTCCTTCTGGTCAGCAACCTGAACTCTGAGAGAGTCACACCCCAAAGCCTCTTTATTCTCTTCGGAGTCTATGGTGATGTGCAGCGGGTGAAGATTCTGTTCAACAAGAAGGAAAATGCACTTGTCCAGATGGTGGACGGCAGCCAGGCCCAGCTGGCCACGAATGGGCACAAGCTCCATGGGAAGTCAGTGCGTATCACACTGTCAAAGCATCAGAGTGTGCAGCTGCCTCGTGAGAGGCAGGAGGACCAGGGCCTGCCCTAGGACTATGGTAGCTCACCATTGCATAGCTTCAAGAAGCCAGGCTCCAAGAACTTCCAGAACATCTTCCCGCCCTCAGCTACTCTCCACCTCTCCAATATCCCGCCCTCTGTGTCGGAGGATGACCTCAAGAGCCTCTTCTCCAGCAATGGTGGTGTGATCCAAGGCTTCAAGTTCTTCCAGAAGGACAGAAGGATGGCCTTGATCCAGATGGGCTCTGTGGAGGAGGCGGTGCAGCCTCTGACTGAACTACACAACCACGACCTGGGTGAGAACCACCATCTGGGGCGTGTCCTTCTCTAAGGCCACCATCTAGGTGCCTGTGGGTCTGCAGCAGCTTCCACCATTCCAGAAAAGCCACTTTAAAAGCAGCTTAAGTGACCTTAGAGACCAGAGATTTTATTTTTTTAAAGAGATCAGTTTACCTGTTTAAAAAAAATATATCTAACCCACCTTGCCATGGCAGGAAGTGGCTTGGGCCACAGAGGTTCAGTCAGGCCAGGCACCATGCCTTGAGGGGCTCAGGCATAAGGCCACAGCGGTGTCCCGGACACAGTCGCGTTCGTGCCTTACAAAACCAGCCTGGTGGGCCACCTGTCAGTCTCTAGACCTGCAGGTGAGCCAGTGGCCCGCACCACGGGCTCCCTACGCCGTGCATGAGCTGGGGCCACTGCCCCCACCCTTATAATCAAGTGACATGATTCTCCCATGTCCCTGGCGAGCCTGGGGGGGCCCAGGTCATCCTCAGCTGCTGAGCCTCCTGTGACCTTGTATTCTATTCTGTGCAGTCGCAGACACCCGTGCTTAGCAATATTTCCACTTGACCAAATACCTGAATCTTTTCCCATTTATATGCAAGCGATGGAGTTTTAAGTAACTTTTTATATCAATGATACAATGGTATGTGTGTACTCTCAGCTTCTGTGTCCCTGTGCTTGTCCCCTCCCTTCCCGGTGACCAACTTGCAGGTGGGACCCAGGCCAGTGCTGCCTCTGCCTGGAGAAAAACAGCTCTGAGACCTGTGGGTTCCTACCTTCAAATTTTGGACCAAAGTTTTGTTTTCTGCCCGTCTCTGACTAGGCCCAGGTGAGAGGCTGAACTCTAGGTCTTAATGCCCCTACCAAATGCCCATATCATACCCAGCCTGTCTGCTTCGGATTCCCGCGCTGCGCGCACCCGCGTGCACATCCAGCCATCAGCGACCCAAAAAACCTGTGTTTACCCATTTCTCCCCTCCACTGGCTTAGCGGCTACTAAAGCCACCGCGAGCTCCGCTGCAGAGCAGCGTGTCTCCCAACCTTCCCAACCCCCCCTTTGTCCCCAAATCTGTTTGCTAAGTTTCCACAGGTTCCTTGGGAAACATTCGATTTTCCGTGGAGAAGCCATGTTTGGCGGTGCACCTCCGCCACCTTCTGGCCAATCGCAGTAACTACAGGTATTTTTATTTATTTTTTTTATTTATTATTATTATTATTTTTATTTTCCATTTTAAATTTAGATAAGAAACAAGGTTGCTTCACAAGTCAGTTCGAGGTCCCTCTCCCTTTCCCTCCCCTCCTCCCGTGTCCTCCCCCCATCCCCCCCGTTATCCCTTCATTCCCCCAGGGAGGGTGAGGCCCTCCATGGGGGTGTCCATAGTCTGTCATTTCATATAGGGCAGGGCCTAGACCCTCCCCCCAAGAGTTCAGGGTGAGAGTGCACCTCACATTGTTCTATGGGAGTCCAGAGTCCGTGTGTATACTTGGGATGGGTACTGATCTGCTGTCCAAGGCTCAATAGATTATTTTAATCTAGGACAAAACAAGAGGTGATTGTTTCCAATTCAAGAATTACTAATTGGTGGTAAGAACATCTAATTATAACATGGCAGGTAATTTAACACTGCAGGATTTTAGAGATTTCATTACCAATGTCATTGGTTATGCAGTAAAGGACAATTATGATATTTTTCGTATGTATGTGTGTATCATGCTCGTGATTAGCGAGTGTGTTAATACATGTAATCACATGGAAGAAGCATGTACAAATGATTAAAAAATTAGGGTAAAAATTCAGGAAAAAGGGGATTAAATTACCAAAACGGATAATTTGGAATTTAATCAGAACAACCTTCCAGACACATTTAATTCAATGTCCACTGCTTTCATGGCTAAGATGGAGTCTAATCAGGGGGAATTTTCCAAATTAGCAGGGTCAATTCAATCTGTGTTTGACAATAATGACCATCTGGCAGACAGAATAATTTTTCTGGAAGGGAAAATAGATGCCTTTGAAGTTTTTAGGGAGGATGGTATGAAAAGCTTGGAATCACGCTTAACTGAACAGTCCAAGGACTTGGAACAATTTTTTAATGCAGGTAATCCAAGACCTCAGAGATGACATGGTCACAAAATTTCAATCTTTAGAAGATACATCGTCTGAAACATCAGACGCTGAGGCAACAGATGCTAGGCTACCAGGAAATAAACAAAGCATAGCTAGTAGACGTCCAAGAGACCTTCCTAGTGGCCTTTCCAGTACCTATGACACAAAGGTCAGCATCGCGGAGGAGCCAAATCAGTTCCACTGCACGTGAATGGGAATCTATTCCCATGAAAGAAATGAAGGGGATAAAGCAAGCGATAATGTCTTATGGGGTCCACAGCCCTTATGTGAAATTGTTACTAAGCACATGGGTGGATAACATTTGGGGTTCACTCCTATGATTATAATTATTTTTTCTTTTGTATTACTTTAATTTTAAATAGCTTGCTTCACATGTCAATCCCAGTTCCTCTCCCTCCCCTCCTCCTGCACCCCACTACACCATTCCCCCAGCCTCCCACCCTATCCCCATTTCCTTCCACATAGGGGATATCTAGAGTCTGTCATTTCACTCAGGGCAGGGTCCAGGCACTCCCCTAAGAGTCCAGGCTGAGAGAGCATCCCTGTTTGTGTTACGGACACACAAAGTCCGTTTGTATGCCAGGGATAAACACTGATCTACTTCCCAGGGCCCCATAGGTTGCCCAGGCCTCCTCACTGACACTCACATTCGGGGGTCTGGATTGGTCCCATGCTGGCCTCCCAGCTGTCGGTCTGGGGTCCAAGAGCTCTCCCCTGTTCGGATCAGCTATCTCTGCTGGTTTTGCCAGCCCATTCTTTGCCAATTTGTTCATCACTCCTCTCTCTCTGTCACTGGGTTTCATGGGTTCAGTTCAGTGTTTAACTGTGTGTGTTTGCCTCTGCTTCCATCAGTCACTGGATGAAGGTTCTAGGATAGGGTAGACATAAAGTTCATGATCAAGAATGGACTTTTAAGGTGGTGTCTCCACTATTGCTTAGCTTGCCAATTGGTGTCATTCCTTTAGATCACTAGAGGTCTCACTGGTGCCAGATCTGTCTTCTAACCTATGACTCCCTCTTCACCCTATTCTAACCCCACTCAACCTTCCTGTTACCCCATAACCTACTCTCTCTTCCTCTTTTCCCCCTCTCTTCTTCCCAGCACCGCCCCCACTCCTCACCATGTTCCCAGTCTGTTCTGAAGATCTTGCCTCATTCCTCTTCTCTGGGGTACCATGCATATCTCTCTTAGTTTCTTTCCTGTTTTCCAGACTCTCTGTCAGTGGAAGTGCAGACTGGCACTATCCTGATACATGTCTAAAATCCATATATAAGTGAGTACATACCATGTTTGTCTTTTTGTGACTGGGTTATCTCACTCAGGATGGTTTCTTCCAGTGCTATCCATTTACCTGGGAATTTCAAGATTCCATTGTTTTTTCTGCTGAATAGTACTCCATTGTGTAAATGTACCACATTTTCTCTATCCACTCTTCAGTTGAGGGGCATCTAGGTTGCTTCCAGGTTCTGGCTATTACAAATAATGCTGCTATGAACATAGTGGAGCAGATGTCCTTGTATGAATTTGCATCTTTTGGATATATGCCTAAGAGTGGAATTGCTGGGTCTTGTGGTAGGTTGATTCCCATTTTCCTGAGGAATCTCCATACTGATTTCCAAAGTGGCTGTATGAGTTGGCACTCCCACCAGCAGTGGAGGAGTGTTCCCCTCTCTTCACATCCTCTCCAGCATAAATTGTCTTCGGTGTTTTTGATTTTAGCCATTCTGACAGGAGTAAGATGGTATCTCAAAGTTGTTTTGATTTGCATTTCCCTGATGGCTAAGGATGTTGAGCACTTTCTTAAGTGTCTCTTGGCCATTTTAGCCTCCTCTATTGAGAATTCTCTATTTAGTTCTGTACCCCACCTTTTAATTGGATCCTTTGGTGTTTTGGAGAGTAGCTTCTTGAGTTCTTTGTAAATTTTGGAGATCAGCCCTCTGTCAGATGTGGAATTAGTGAATATCTTTTCCCATTCTGTGGACTGCCTTTTTGTCTTGTTGACTGTGTCCTTTGCCTTACAGAAGCTTCTTAGTTTCATGAGGTCCCATTTGTTAATTGTCGATCTCAGTGTCTGTGCTACTGGTGTTATGTTCAGGAAGTGGTCTTCTGTATCAACTCATTGAAGAGTATCTCCTACTTTCTCTTCTAAGAGTTTCAGTGTGGTTGGATTTATGTTGAGGTCTTTGATCCATTTGGACTTAAGTTTTGTGCAAGGTAATAGACATGATCTATCTGCAGTCTTCTGCGTACCAATACCCAGTTATGCCAGCACCATTTGTTGAAGATGCTTTCTTTTTTCCATTGTATAGTTTTAGCTTTGTCAAAAATTAAGTGTTCATAGGTGTGTGGGTTAAAATCAGGGTTTTCAATTTGGTTCCATTGGTCTACCTGTCTGTTTTTGTGCCAACATCAAGCTATTTTCAGGCCTATAGCTCTATAATAGAGCTTGAAGTCAGGTATGGCGATGCCTCCTGAAGTTCCTTTATTGTATAGGGATGTTTTGGCTATCCTGGGCCTTTTGTTTTTCCATATAAAGTTGATTATTGTTCTTTCAAGGTCTGTGAAGAATTGTGCCAGAATTTTAATAGGGATTGCATTGAATCTGTAGACTGCTTTTGGCAAGATTGCCATTTTATTATGTTGATCCTACCAATCCAAGAGCATGGGAGATCTTTCCATTTTCTGGTATCCTCTTTGATTTCTTTCTTTAAAGACTCAAAGTTATTGATATACAGGTCTTTCACTTCCTTGGTTAACATTATCCCAAGATATTTGATGCTGTTTATGGCTATTGTAAAGGGTGATGTTTCTCTGATTTCTTTCTCAGCCACTTCATCATCTGTAATTAATAGGGCCACTGATTTTCTTTGAGTTTACCTTGTATTCTGCCACTTTGTTGAAGTTGTTTAACAGCTCTAGGAGTTCCCTTG